TCCTCCACATCATTAACATTCTCAATCACGAGCTTGGTACTTTATCTAAGAGAGAGGCAGGCAATCATGAAATATTCATGATTTATTAATCTGACTACAAGAAAAACAAACATGGCAACCTGGGAGTGTGACACCTCTCTTTCAAAAGCGAGGTAGCAACAATGACTGTGTTTGCTCTTGCTCCTCGCGACTGCAGATTCCAACAGAAGAAGTCCACTGACATGCAGGTGAATGCTGCTATTCCACTCACAATAGTGTTTTTACTGAGATAGAGCGGAGAGGAAGTGTTGCTGGTTTTTTCACTTGGCCCGGATCGGCCTCTGCCTCTCATTTTGTGCATCGTATCAACAAAATGTCAACCAGCGCGTCGTCATAAAAAGAAGAAGAAAAAAATGAGGGAAATGGAAATGTGGCGGGGAGCCACCTCGGAGACAAATCACATCAGTGTTTCCGTGTTGAGAGAGAGAGGGAGAGAGAGAGAGAGAGAGAAGGGGAGGAGGGAAAGGAGAGGAAAAGAGAAGTATGATGAACAAAACAAAGGGAGGAAAGGTAAGAGGAGGTAAAGCAGAAAGAGAGGAAAACATGCATAGAGGGTGGCGGGTGTTAGAAGCTGGCTGTTTCCCCTTTCCTTTCCTCATCCATCCTTGCCCTCCCTCCCTCCTCTTCTCGCTCTCTCTCTCTGCTCACGCATTTGAGAGGATTTTCTCAAGTGGGAAAATTTGTGCTGATGACACAGTGTTGTGAAAATGAAAATGCTGCAGCGCTTGGTTGATGTTACTGTCATTGACTCCTAATGGGAAAAAAATCCCACTACACGCGCAATTTTCTGGACTCTCCATTCTTTCCTCCCACCTCACGCAGCACTCTCCCAACATACACCTCGCGCTAATATCACTCAATCTCACACCCCCTTGCTCTTCTTCTTCTCCCTTCTATATACACACACACACACACACACTTACTTTCAGGCCTGCTCAAAGCGACAACTTTGTCTTATATCTCCTATTGACTTTCTCATTCTCTAAATCTCTCCCTCTACTTCTCTTCATTACCCTCCCTCTCTCTTTCAGTTTTCAAGTCCCCCGGGGTACCTTGAGCGGCGCAGCTGCCAGTGAAGTAGCTAAAGTCAAAAGTCAATACGAGCCAACAAAGCTGGTTAAGTATTAAAGGGGGGGATGATGACGCTGCTGTTAGCCAGGGAAAAACTTCACAGAGAGCAAATAAAAGGAGCGTGTGCAGTCGGACTTTAATGGAACACTCAATAGTTATAAATGATGTGCTGAAGCAGTTGACTTTGTGATATTGATGAGACTGTACTTTTGATATCTGCAGGCTAATCTGCTTGCAAGTGGAATACAGAGCACTTTGCTCGCAGAGTGGGGGTAATGTTGGGTTAAACATATGACGTCAGTAAGCCACTATATAGAAAACTGTTGAAGTACACGGCACATAGGTTATTACTGATGATGAGCCCTTTTTCAATACATAATACAGTGAAAAACCCATGCCTGAAGTGATTCGTTACCGAAACAGGAAGTGGCAGGCCACAAAAGTGACTTCCCTTTTAAAAGGAATGAAAACTTGAGTTCCCACAACTGAAGACACAGTAGGGAAAAAACAATAAAAAAAAAAAAAAAAAAAAAAAATCACATTTCCAGTTAAGAGAATGTCAGTAAAAGTGGTTTAGTCACCACACGCCAACAGCATAATCAGCAAAATCCCACTTATATGAAATTTTTCAATTGGCGAGCCCATAATAGCCTTTCACTGTCCTTCGCCAGATCATTGTCAGCAGCCCTGAAAACTGAGTGATAATGTAGCAGTGAATGGGCCCTTTCATAGCGTTTGGCCATGGAAGTGGACCAGCAGTGACTCCAATTGAAAGCTATTGCAGCTAAGAAAATCAATTGAATAAATGTGTGGAGCGTGGTGCATTTGTGTCTGTGTGTGGTGTGTGGTGTGTGGTGTGTGTGTGGTGTTGTGTGGGTTGGAGCCGGTTTAGGTGCCCATATCTGGCTTCCAGTCTGGCCTCCTGCTGCTGCATTCCTCAGTAGAGAGCAATTCCTCTGGAAGCCAACAGGGTCAGAGGTCAGGAGGCAAGGATCGAGCCTGGATGCAGCACCAGCCATGGTGTGTGTGTGTGTATATATATATATAATTAATATAAGTATATATATATACATAAATACATACATACATATATACATACATGTATGCGTGCGTTTGTGTTACAAGTACAGTCTGTTTTCAACTGCATCCCTCTCTCTCTCTCTCTCTCTCTCTGTATGCACCGAGCTACATTCAAAGAAGTATCCAGGTATGTACATATACTGTGGCAGCCAGTCAGCCTGCCTTGGCAGCGCTTCCTCTCCAAACCGCTAACAAGCTGCTCTGACACGTGTGTGCATTCCTGAGTCTGCACACAGCGTCCCCGTAAGGCACCGCCTGCCCACCTGCCACCGTCACGCCCCCAGCCTCCTGGAAACGGAGCGCTAACGCCGAACGGCCGGCCTGCTGCATATAGATGCCTTTACCTGAGAGAGCAAGTCAGGGTTTTTTGTAAGCCTGGGCTGGCACCCGAAGGAGTTTTAAATTAGATTGAAATGAAGAGGCATCAGTTTTGATTAAATCCAAACAGGTTTCGTTGATCATAACAGGAGCAAAAGAAATGCTTTAAAATTTAATTGGTTCCACTGTGTTGACAAATGCCAAGCAGGCTTGCATTATAACAGGCTATAACCAGCTAAATCAATTCTAAAGTCACAAGAAAAAGTCCAAATGAAAGTGTGAAAACCACTGAGATGTTCGGTGCAACGACCAGAATCAGGCCACATCTAAACACTGTAAAAAGTGTTGTGTAAAAATACAATTGGATTTATTGAGTTTTAGTGGGGAACAGAATTCAGATGTAGTCATCGATGTTGGGAAAGAAATGACTAAACAGGCCCGTATTGAATACAAAATAAATCAACCATGACATGCGCGATCACAGTGGAAAGAGTGGGTCAGAGAGCGCTTCCCAGTTTTCCCTGAACTCAACGGTGATCAGCTGTGTCAATCAGCTGATTATGGTGGCGAGATGTTTCCAGAGGCAGAGGGGTGGTTCTGGGAAAAAAAGGGCCGGATCCGTTGGGGGAAAGAGGAGCCGTGAGCGGAGCAGAGGTGGGCTTTGCCAAGAGATGACTGGAATGTCAGATAATGGATGACATATCTCCCCAGGGTGACACCGAGCCCAAGGCATCCAGGGAGACGGAGATGGAGAGAATGAGTGTGGTGTGGTGTGTGTGTGTGTGTGTTAGAAGAGAGAGCGAGAGGGGAGAAAAAGGGATGACGAATGGACAGACAAGTGCGTGCTTGTGAAGTTTTGTTAGAGGCTCCTTTTTTCTGGCAATACAGTGTGTCTGTGGAGGAGCTGGAGGTTTTTGGGTTCATCTCAAGTTCAATGGAGAGTCGCTTCCTCTTCTCAACCAAACATGTGTTTGGTTTAAAAAGTTCTTCTTATCCCCCCACCACCACATCTCCTCGCACCTTGCTCTCTTGTCTTTCTGACTGACTGAATGGAAATATGTGTAGGTTAACTTTCCATATGTTCCCCATCTGTCCTTTCCCTTAACCTTGAACACACAAACACACACACACACACACATACACACACACACAACAGGTAGGACACACCCTCTAGGAACAATGTAGACAAGTGCTGTTTATCAACTGCCTGAGCTTCTCCAGGCTTTACAACAGAGGCATAGGATCCACAGGTTTGATAAATGCAGATCAAACCGATTGTCACTTCACAGACGAGTGAACCTGACAGCAGGGTTTCACCGTGTAACCCAGCTATGTAAACATCAGACGACACCGCCCCCATATTAAAAAACATACCCAAACCATTCAAGTACAGCTTGCTGTTCCCAAGGTGGATATCATTAATTACCACCTTGACAAAACTGAGACCTCCAAATTAGAGGTAATCAAACTGTCCTGGGGCTAAGTGGAAACCGATGGCACTAGCACTTGGAAATTAAAGGTGATAATTAACCCATTATGGCTTGATTTAGTCGCAACTAAATCGCTTCATAATTCAACCAAACTTGTTACACACCGCAGCCGACACCAACTACACCTTTAAGTGTGGGAAGCAGCATTTTTATCAGGACAAGGTCACCGTAACACTTGATGCTTAAAAAAAAAAAAAAAAAAAAAAAAAAAAAAAGACTGCCCACATTCGACTTTCACCTTAAATTTGCACTAAAACATAGGGTGCAAAGCAAACATGCCATGCAACCATCCTGGTGAGAGGCTGCAGCAGTGCTCCATGAGTGGAGCTTAGAAGAGGAAGGTGGTGGCAGTGGTGTTGGTGGGGGGTGGGTGGGTTGGGGGGGGGGTGAATTTCTTCATAAGAAAGTAGGGAAGAGAAGGAGGGGAGAGGGCAGGGGTGGTGTCCTGGAAGCTAATAGACTAACTGGAGATCTTTCATGTCATGCTTTGAGAGGGAGTGTGGAGCGAGTAAAAACCAGTCATGTAGTGACACATAAAGAGGCTGGTCAACTATAAACTGCAGTTGGGGATCATTATAAAGCTCATAATCATTCAGTTAATCAGTTATGTTTCCAGATGTTTTTTTTTTTTTTTTTTTTTTTTTTTTTTTTTTTTACATCACTTAAGTCTAGGTTTTAATTCCAAGACTAAACAGGTGATTAATTCTAATCCATGTGCAAATTGAGGGAGTAAATTAATATTCGGTGTTACTTGTTAATAGCTTTATTTTCAGTTAGGAGGAACTTAATGTCAGTTAATCTGAATGGCTCACACATCTAAATGCGCGCACGTACACACACACGCGCGCACACACACACTGAGAACTCCACAGCCTGGTGCGCTGTCGGTGTGGATGACAGCTCTTTGCGCACTGATTTCGTGCGTAAAAGTGGAAGAGCAACAATGAAAAATAATAAAAATACGAATAAAAGCTTTTTCCTTTTTCAGTAACTGTCACTTACTTGTCATACTCTGCGTTGTCCTTGTCACAGCGCGCGTCCTTGTGCTTCTGCCAGTCTTTGCCATGCTTGCAGGTGGTGAGCAGCACCACATCCTCGGCGTTGTGGACGTGATATAAGGCATTCCTGGTGTCCGAGCCGATACCGGTCAGGTAGCGCTTCCCCTTGAACACCAGCATGTACTTTCTAAAAGGCGGGATGGAGTTGTACTTGAGGTACCCCCTCTCTCCGCCGGTCCTCGGATGCTCCTTGGAGAAGAGGGGTATGGACACGTCGAAGTTGGGCCTGAAGTTCTCGGTGCTGATGCTGGCTTTGGCCAACATGGCTTGACCGATGTCAAAGCCCAAGTCTTCCGTATAGTCCGGCCACGTCCCCGAGTACAAGTTAAATATGAGGTGGTTCCTGCCGTCGTTCCACAGGGGCAGGTTCTGGACCTTGGTCTTCAGGTTGTGGACGTATTGCGGGGACAGCTGGTCCCGGTCCAGAGTGTCCAGACTCAAGACGAAGAGACACGCCTGTCCGGGGTCTGAGGTGTAAAACCTCGACCCCTCAATGGTGGATAAAATATTCTGATAACTCTCTGAGATCTTCTCCCCCTTCTGCTGCGGGTAAACATAAACTTTGAATCCGTTCTTCTGACACAGAGAGAAATCAAAGCATGAATCCATGCGGCACCGTTTGCCTTTGTAAACACTCGTGTTGACGTCCCTCTTCTGCCTCGGGGATATGTGCAGGTTGTACTCCTCGGTCTCCGTCTGATCCCAGGGCACGAAAGGGTGTAAAGGGTCCGAGAAGTGAGGCCAGGGCTGGTCGGGCCGGTACCCATTTCGGCTGCGGTCATGCCGGCTCCTGCTCGCCGCTGGAAGTTGAACCCCTCCGAGGTAGAAGAGAAGCACTAGACATGCACCGGCTGAGAGCAGGATCAGGTAGCGTTTTTTGGCCTGCATGTGTCCTGGGAACAGGGGCGAGTTGTTTAGGAATAAGAAATGTAAAGTGGCCCGAAGTTAGGCTCTCACCAACCCCGGCTACACCGCTCCATCCTCCGGCAGCCTCCACGGATCCCCAACCCCCCTTCTGCGTATTCGGTTCCCAAATCCAGCAATTGATCCAGTGCATGTGGGCGATTTTAAAAGTAGTGTCCCTTTCTCCCTCTTCTGTAGAGTTTCACCATATCGCGCAGCGCCTACAGCGGGGCTTGGGCGCACCTAAAAAGATCAGTGCTGCCCGGACCCTCTCGGACACAATCATATGCAGCGACTCTCTTCCCCTGCGCTTCTTCTCACCCTCATTCAGGCTGGCTGTGTGTGTGTGTGGGGCTATTCAAATGGAAAACTGTCCGAGAACCGTCTGGGAACTCTCTCCCCCAAAGATGAACAGCGGCAGGGGTCCCCGAGGCTCTCCCAGACGGAAAGGTATACCCCGGTTTGGATGTTAAACTCGGTAACACATTGACCGGGGAGTGTAAAAAAAGAAAGAAAGAAAAAAAAAAAAGCCCGTCGGTGTGGCCGCCGCGCTCTGATCCAAATGCCTCGGGGTGAATTCGTCCTATCCCCCCCCCTCCTCCTCTTTTATCACTCCATGGTCCCGTGTGAAGAGAGGCAAGAAAACGGAGGGGAAGCGTCGTAGCGCAGGGGGCAGCTCAGCGGTGCAACTGTAACCTGACGAATCCCTGCATTTCTCTTCTTATTTATTACAACCTCCACACACACGCTCGCTGATATAAAATAAAAACCTCATCGGCGGGGAGCCACGCAGCGGGCGAAGTTAGCCGGTCGACACGAGGCGAACAAACGCGAACCTCAAGACCGGGTCAATGGCTGAGAAAATGTTCAAAAAGACGGGATTCCTTGAGCCTAGTGTCCAATTACCGAGTGCTCAGTTGTTCCGATTGTTAGTCGGTAACATTCCAATCCCGACACGACGGCAGCTGACGTGACGTCCCACCGATGCGCACCGCCGCCGCTGATTGGTCCGTCTGTGCGAACGGAAGAGGCGGGACTTGAGGGGATGCACCCATTCATAACCGGAGTCCTCCGCATGTGCAAATTATCTAATTGTTAAGCCTGTAGAAGTTGTTTGAAGATGTTGCTGGAGAGTAAAGCACCCTCTACAACAAAAAAAAGAAAAAAAAAAGGAGAATAGATTGACACAGTTGTGTTTTGTGTTCAGGCTGAGTCACACACACACACACACACACACACACACACACACACACACACACACACACACACACACCGTTTGCTCTCATACTATCTGGATTAAACAGTCTACATCTCAGCGGTGGAGGAAGTACCTGAGATTTCCTTTGCTTAAGTAAAAGTATCACAAAGAGAAAATAGGCTACTAGTGAAAGTCCTGCATTCAGATTCTTGTTTGGGTGAGACAGCAAAATGTGGTGACAGTATCAAAAGTTAAAATACTCATTACACAAAATGTTACAGCCTAGTGTATTTATCATATTGGAACAAACAGACTCCTCGACATTAAAGCAGAATTTAAATGTTGTCAAGGTAAAGTGAAGTTTACATACAACTTTTTATACCGCTCAGTAGTTCAACCTCTAACAAACTCATCATCAGCTTTACTTAGAACATCTTAATTCAAAAATACTCAAGCAAAGTACAATAGGCAACCTGACTTGTACACACTCAGGCTGAGTAGGATATACTGTCAGTACTTGATTAAATGTACTTAGTTACTTTCCACTAATGTAAAATTTTCTCTCTTTACTCTAACTTATATTTTATGGGCATTATTCATGTTTCCATAGTCACTCTTTTGTTTGTTTTTTTGTTTGTTTGTTTGTTTCATTCATTCATTCGTTCTTTCTTTCTTGCTTTCTTTCTTTCTTTCTTTCTTTCGTTCTTTCTTTCTTTCTATCTTATTCAACTCACAGGTTGCATAGAAGCATACCCTCGTACTTTTATTTGTCTATTTTATTTGTTTAATGCATTTAACGGCAGAAAGATCTTGAAGTTGCTTTTTTCTGTAATGTCTGGTGTTTTCAGACCTTATTGTCCCATACTAGTAAACCAAGTTTTTTTCTTCCTTCATATCATATTTTTCCTATTTCTTGCCTTTATTGAACAGCTGTAAAGACAGACAGGAAATGAGTAGCGAGAGAGAGAGAGAGAGGGGAGGGGTGGGGAGGTTTGACATGCAACAAAGGTCCATGGCTGATATCAAAATCAAATCAGGGATGTTGCGGTCCGATGGTGTTTTGCTGTGTCTCAACCACCAGACCACAAGGTCGCCCCATCTGAGTTTTTTTTCCCCCACCAAACATTGTCCCCTCTAATTTGATCCGCAGTCTGGAAACCCAGATTCACTAACCTGCAGTCCTGACAGAGCAAAGACAATCAAAAGCCACTAAAGTAAGATAAGCCCTGTGTGATTTGCATGTAACATGTTGAAATGTTTATATCGCCTCCAGGACTCAGCATCTGTTCAAATGATTTCATCGTCCATTTGTACCAAAAACAAACACAGTGAAATAGTCAGGATATGAAGGTCTTCAATGAGAATAAGTTGTTGGAAGTCAACTTCCAGCTAAAATGTTCCTGTATCCACTAACAAACCAACGTGGCACAGCAGAGGCGACGTGCCTGACAAGGAAATTAATAGCAGAGGAGTGGTTCTCACTGAGTGTCACCATGCCTCATAAGCCCGCATAATCCTCCCCACTGCCATTTGGTGGCACAACACTCAGACTGGGTGAAGAGGCCATCCTAATTTTTTATCGGCCAATTAGCTCAGAAGAGGGGGACTAATTAGCAGGGCTGACTGGGAGACTGGCCAGGATCCTGTGGTTGGCCAGCGCTCATCGTCGGAATATGCTGGTGATGAAGAGGCCTGGGTGCTGTTCCAGAGGGCTGCTCCTGTCTTCGTGTTGTTGTCCTGCTCGATCCAATGTTAACCAATCCGTATAGCAAAGTGACGTGGGCTGAGTAAAGGAAACATGCAAATCCCGAATCGTCCGACTGTGACTATGTCGTGGCATGTTGTGCTGCCGTAACAGGTTCTCGTAGCCTTATATTTACACAGAGCTTCTTCTCACACAAATCTAAACTCTGCACTCTTATAGAAAAGTCACACAACTGGCACACTTGGCAACACTGCCTCTCTTTTGAGAGCCTTGCTTTTGTTTATGCCCGAGGGACTTTTCTCTTAATTGCTTGCAACTCTAACAGGAATAATGTCGGGTTCCTTAATGACACTTGAAACTGAGATTGTGTTAACCGGAGAAGATGGTGTACTCTGAATAGACTTGTTCTCTTGAAAAGTGCTTGCGTCTCCCTTAATGTATTGCAGGTTGTTCACATCATTAAACATTTCTCTTAATTGAAGGTGAGAAGGAGAGACGCAGTAGCTTGAGCGCAGGCTGCAGTGTTCGCCGCTGCGCCATCAAAAGGCGCCGCATACCCCGAGTTTTACGGCGCTGTATCCCGACTGTTTTGGAACATTTTGTAGCTGTGTGGTCTCTGCATCACAGTGGTGAGGACTGGGAGTCATTCCAGCGAGCTTTGCCTCACTCCACTCCTTCATCCTTCCTTGTGTACACTTCTAATGTTTCCACCCCAGAAAAATTCCCCTCTTCAATCACGCTCTGGTCTCTCCCCTTCAGAGGGCTGTAGCAGGTCAGGGATATGAGAAGATGAGTAAACCTGGCCGGCTGTGAAACCTTAAAAGCTGGACTAAGCAAAATTATAAAGTAAAACACCTCCTTTTTTTTTAATCTGCCAAAACCAAACAGTGGGTTTGAATTAGAGAAGAGCAGCCGTACGCTGTAGATTCTCCCATTCTGCCCAAATGAAATGATGCTGTCAGCATGTAGGAGCAGGAAATTGCTCCACTAATGGAGGAAGAAAAATACAGGAAGTGGCAAATTCTACATACAGGGGAGGGGGGGACTCTGTCCAAGAGCAACACTCACAAGTGTTAGATCATTAGTTCCTTTTGATATGAAACCACACACTGGCTGGGATGGAACACACCATGTTGAAGTTCAAAGTTTTTGAGCAAATATCTCCCAGTGCCAATGTGTAAAGAGTTAGCAAGGTGATGTAAATCAGTGTCTTACTTTGTTGTAGCCCTCACTTTGTGCCTTTCATGTGTTACCATTACATTTGAGTCACAGAGCAAAGCTGCACCTCTTTTCTCTGTATCAAATAAAATTAAACATTTTCTGAAACATTTCCTTCCAATGTTTTATCTTTTCATACAAATGAATCCACTTTTGCATATTTTGTTTGTGCAAGGACATGTGTCATTTCTAACTACCTGAATTAGGAAATACTGTTGCAACTTGAGGAACTGGTTAAAAGTTTTTTCTTTTTTTACAACAAACAAGAACTTTTTTTTTATCCCTATGATTGGAAGAGTCTTTGAGGATTCTCCAAATAACCCTAGAACAGCAGTAAGTTCTGCTAAATGACTTCTGTTTCTCAAAGATCAGCAGGTATTTGTTCTTTGGAAAATCCAATGCTTAGCTCTGTGACTCGAATGTAATGATAATACATGTGAAGCACAATGCACATGTAACACAACCTTCCTACATTTTTACGTGTCACTTGTTTTTGTTTACATCTGTTTTCTGAAGCGGAAATTCTTTTTTTTTTGTTTCTGACCCTTTTGTGAATGCAAGTCAAACATATTCCGTGTCGTGGTTTTCAATGAAGAACAGGCCTTGTTTTGTAGTAGTTTAGGCAGATCGAGTCATTCACGGGAACCACAAAATAAAAAAAGATATTGCTATAAGGCAGTGATCATGAGATATTCAATTTGAATGTTTTCCAAATTAATCAATGGCAACTTCTGAGCAAAACACATCGACCTTGAAGATCATTTGCCATTTGGATATAAATTATAAGAACATATCCAGTATGATATAAAGCAGTGATTTGAATAGGTCTATGTCCTGACTGACTGGAATGAACAGTCAGTTTATGCTCTGACTCTCCTGGTGCTGCGTGTAAAGCACTTGCCCTCAGTGACGGCAGGCAGCCATGATAAAGACTTGCAAATTCAGGCCGTGGTAAACAAATACCCACGGCTGGAAGGTAATCTGTGGGTTGAGGGAGTTTCAGGCAAGAGGAAGACAAAACAGCCTTTGAGAGTCTTCAGGCTGCTGCTGATCAGTCGCTGATAAACTCCCTTCTGGATGATGTAACAAGCTGGGCTCCTGCAATGACAAAGGGCATGTGTGTGTGTGTGTGTGTGTGTGTGTGTGTGTGTGTGTGTGTGTGTGTGTATGTGTGTGTGTGTGTATAAGCATTCATGCCCAAAAAATACTGTATCTCTGGGGTTGCAGTGTGTGTTTGCATTCATGTACCCGGCTTGCGCATGCACATGAGACTATATTTTGTTGTGTGTGTGTGTGTGTGTGTGTGTGTGTGTGTGTGTGTGTGTGTGTGGACA